TGGAAATGGAGCTCAAAATACGGGAAATGTTTGAATTTGGCCGATGTTCAAAAATAAACAAACGATGTCATTGTACAATAAATGTCCAAGTAGCCATTCTAATATGCAGTCATGAATGGGTTGATGTTATTTATACAATTATTACAGCATTGCAGTAGTCTGCATAACAGTAAATCTTCTATTTTTTGTTTTGAATAATAATTCAAAATAGAAAGCAAGAGTAATATCACAGGGGCCTGGAGACATGACTGATGAACAAAGAAAATGCTATTTTAGAGCCAGGAATGTCTGCATTGTTCATTCTTGTCCTTATTTTGAAATTGTCATATTTTTTAATTTTTGTGAAATTGGCCAAATTGCAAATTTCTGACCACGTTATTGGGTAGTTGAAATCGGTAAATGGGCAGTTTCTTGTACTCAATCGATAGAAAAAATGGAGTTCTAAGGAAATAGCTATGAGTTTGGTCGACTGAAACACTGGAATTAGGTGAAAATAGGGCTCAAAGTGAGTGAAATAGCCGATTTGTAAATATCCCTGAGGTCGCTAACTTTGCGACCTTTGCGCTGGAGTAACAGCGAGTTCATTTTACAAATAATTTATCTGGTCTTGGCCAGGGATTGCGCCGTAATTCTGTCAGTTTTCCATCAAATTTCGTTTTTTTGGTGTCATTACAATCGGGAAAAGATTCTCTATCATTTCATAAAAAAAATATTTTTTTTTTTTTTTTTTTAAATTTTGCGACGCCAGGAGTTAGAGGTACGTATCAGGAAAATGGAGGGAATATTTTGAGGAATTGTTAAATGTTGATGAAGATAGAGGGGCTGTGATTTTGTGTATAGGGCAAGGAGGAATAGCATCTTGTAGGAGTGAGGAGGAGCCAGTTGTGAGTGGGGGGGAAGTTCGTGAGGCAGTGGGTAGAATGAAAGGGTGTAAGGCAGCTTGGATTGATGGGATAAAGATAGAAATGCTAAAGGCAGGTGGGATATAATTTTGGAATGGTTGGTCCTATTATTTAATAAATGTATGGAAGAGGGTATTGTACCTAGGGATTGGCAGAAAGCATGCATAATTCTTTTGTATAAAGGCAAAGGGGACAAAAGAGAGTGCAAAAATTATAGGGGAATAAGTCTGTTGAGTGTGCCTGGTATAGTGTATGGTAGTTATTATTGAAAGAATTAAGAGTAAGACAGAGAGTAAGATAGCAGATGAACAAGGAGGTTTTAGGATAGGTAGGGGGTGTGTAGACCAAGTGTTTACAGTGAAACATATAGGTGAACAGTATTTAGATAAGGGTAAAGGTTTCTGTGGCATTTATGGATTTGGAAAAGGCATATGACAGGGTGGATAAGGGGGGCAATGTGGCAGGTGTATGGAATAGGAGGTAGGTCACTGAAAGCAGTGAAGAGTTTTTATGAAGATAGTGAGGCTCAGGTTAGAGTATGTGGAGAGAGGGAGATTATTTCCTAGTAAAAGTAGGCCTTAGACAAGGATGTGTGATGTCACAATGGTTGTTCAGTATATTATATAGATGGGGTGGTAAGAGAAGTGAATACGCAGGTTGAAATTAAGACACATGTGCAACATCTGGGTATCTTTATTGTAGACGTTTCTCCTTCCAGTGGGTTTATCAATACAAATTCCAGGACATAACTTGAAGACAAGTAGAACTATGTACAGAGATGAGGTAATCAGTCCCTCAACTCTGGAGTAGGTGCGAAGAGCACTGTAGTCGTGGAGATTCTGAAGCAGAAGCAAGGTGCCTGACACTTATATACTAACGTCAGGTAGAAATGGAATGGGTAGAAGATGAGGGCATTGTGTTGGCAGGAGGTGTGGGGTTAAAAGATAAAGAATCTAACACAAAGTAGGAGTTGTCACAGTTGCTCTTTGCTGATCACACTGTGCTTTTGGGAAATTTGGAAGAGAAGTTGCAGAGGTTGGTGGATGAGTTTGGTAGGGTATGTAAAAGAAGAAAATTAAAAGTGAATATAGGAAACAGTAAGGTGATGAGGATAAAAAAAATTAGGTGACGAAAGACTGGATATCAGATTGGAGGGAGAGAGTATGGGGGGAAGTGAATATATGTATTCAGATATTTGGGAGTGGATGTGTCAGCAGATGGGTCTATGAAGGATGAGGTGAATCATAGAATTCATGAGGGAAAAAGGGTGAGCGGTGCACTTAGGAGCCTGGAGACATAGAACTTTGTCCATGGAAGCAAAGAGGGGAATGTACGAGAGTATAGTTATACCAACACTCTTATGTGAGTGTGAAGCATGAGTGGTGAATGTTGCAACAAGGAGAAGGCTGGAGGCAGTGGAGATGTCATGTCTGAGGGCAATGTGTGGTGTGAATATAATGCAGAGAATTCATAGTTTAGAAATTAGGAGGAGGTGCGGGATTATCAAAACTATTATCCAGAGGGCTGAAGAAGGGTTATTGAGGTGGTTCAGACATGTAGAGAGGATGGAACAAAATAAAATGACTTCAAGAATGTATAAATCTGTAGTGGAGGGAAGGCTGGGTAGGGGTCGGCCTAGGAAAAGGTGGAGGGAGGGGGTAAAAGAGGATTTGTATGCGAGGGGCTTGGACTTCCAGCAAGCATGTGTGAGCGTATTTGATAGGAATGAATGGAGACAAATGGTTTTTAGGACTTGACGTGCTGTTGGAGTGTGAGCAGGGTAACATTAGTGAAGGGATTCAGGGAGGCTGGACTTGAGCCCTGGAGATGGGAAGTACAGTGTTTGCACTCTGTAGGAGGGGTGTTAATGTTGCAGTTTTATAACTGTATTGTAAGCACGCCTCTGGCAAGAGAGTGATGGAGTGAACGATGATGAAGGTTTTTTCTTTTTTGGGCCACCCTGCCTGGGTGGGAAGCAGCCAATGTGTTAATAAAAAAAAAATGCTATATACATTCAGGTATGTAACTACAGGTCCACTTCCCTTTATCCGAAACCCTTGAGGCCGGTATTGTTTTGAATTTCGAACTTTTTCTCGAATTTCAGAATGATTCTCAACGCCGCCACTTGGCGGTGTGACCCAGCACTTAGTTGACCGACGCTTCACACTCCACGAAAAAGCTTTGATTTTCAGAACTTTTTGAATTTCAGAATTTTGGATAAAGGGATGTAGACCTGTATTATGAAAGAAGAACTATTACTGTCATTATTAAATCCCTGGTTTCACTTTTTTTGGATTTCTTTTTTTTTTCTTTATTGCTTTCATATTCTGTTTTCTTCAACATTTTCCCCATCTTTTTCTTCCTCCCTCCCTCTCTCCCCCTTTCTTTTCACTACCTCCTCCTCTTAGAATATTTGTATGAAAGTAAAAAATGCATTCTTGAAAGCTCCTGGGCCCAATATGAACTTAAAAATAAACTCGTTAAAGGAAAGTCACTTCCCCATCTGGTGAATCAATGCATGTTATTCTAGGACAATAGTGAGCAATGAAACTTCTGAGATCATTTATCTTGGATAGTCCTTAATCATCTGGCAACTGTTCAAATGACAAATGTGTGTAAATTAATAAGACAGTGAAAACTGAAGTTTAATCAGTTTTTTATGTAGTGGCATTGTAGGGCTGTAGAACATATGTTAAGTAGGCTGAATTGTTTGGCAAGAAACAGCTGTGTTTCAAAATTTGTAAACACAGATTACTTTACAGAAAAGTTTTTCTTAACATTGGGAAATATTTTATGAGACCTAGTGTTAGATACTGTGTATAGAGAGAATAGGGTGGAGGATTTAACCCCTTGACTATTGCAACCCCAAATCCTGAGATGTCTCCTGGTGTCGCAAAGTTTTTTGTTAGGAAGTGATGGAGAATCTTTTCCTGATGGTAATGACACCAAAAGTACGAAATTTGATGGAAAACTGACGGAATTACGCTCTTGCGAAGTTAGCGACCTTGGCGATATTTATGAATTGGCGATTTCGCCCACTTCGAGCCCTATTTTCGGCTAATTCCATTGTTCCAGTCGACCAAGCTCATAGCTGTTTCTTTAGAACTCCATTTTTTCTATCGATTGAGTACAAGAAACTGCCCATTTACCGATTCCAACTACCCAATAACATGGTCAGAAATTTGCAATTTGGCCAATTTCACAAAAATTAAAAAAATCTGACAATTTCAAAATAGGGTCCACAATGAACAATACTGACATTTCTGGCTCTAAAATAACATTTTCTTTGTTCATCAGTCACATCTCCAGGCCCCTCTGATATTACTCTTGCTTTCTATTTTGAATTTTTATTCAAACAAAAAAATAGAAGACTTACTGTTATGCAGACTACTGCAATATTGTAATAATTGTATAGATAACATCAACCCATTCATGACTGCATATTAGAATGGCTACTTGGACATTTATTGGAAAATGACATCATTTGTTTACTTTTGAACATTGGCAAAAATCAAACATTTCCCCTACTTTGAGCTCCATTTCAAGGTTCTTTTATAGTAAAACCAATCAAAATCACCTCTATTTCTATAATATGTTTTCCATTCTATCAAATGAGACCAAGAAAACGAGAATACAACCATAAATACTATACGAAAATAGACCACAAAGACGGCATTTTAATTAAAAAAAAATAGTCAGTTTTTTTTTTCTCATTATGCACTGCATGCTGCAGGATTTTTTTCATATGGTGCACACTGACCTCACAGTCCCATTCTCTCACATGTGGGCCTACCAGCTTTCTCCTGCTTGATTTGAAGCCGGTAGAATTTATGAGTATATACAGGTCAAAAATGGTGGCTCGTAAGACGTATATATACGACCAAAACAGTCAAAGGGTTAATAAATGTACTACTTATATGGTCAGAGATGACCATTCAAGCAGTTTATTTATTGAAACCTGTATACTGTAATTGAATAGGTATACAGTATAATGTGAAATAAATTCTGGTGACTGCTGTGCATTCATTAGAATATCCCAGCATTCTAATTTTATATCTAAAGCTTCCACTGTATAATTCCTTTTTTTTTTCTTTTCAGCCAAATCCAGAGGCCCTGGAAAAAATTATGCAAATGGGCTTCAAAAAAGATGATGTCATCAATGCCCTGCGTGTTAGTGGAAATAAACAGAGTGTAGCTGTAAGTTGTCTTGGCTAGTTTATTTAAATGGCTATACTTAAGTTTTTTCATTATAATTGCAGTGTTAAAATAGATATTACTTGGGTTAACTTCTAGCAGACTTTACAAAAATTGTGACAACCTAAACTTGCTTTTTTGTTTTAGAGAGCTGAAACTACACTGCTATCAGGATGATCATAAACATTATTTTATTATAGCAAAAATGTCCAGTATCCTGAGAATACGGATATTAAATTTGCAAGCTGTAGTCATGAGTTTACAAAGTAAAATAGGTAAAGGATATTAAAGCACCACTTGGGATCTCTGGGATGGAATGTATTTGTACGTATTTATGTGTAGTAAAAGGCTAATTACTTGGAGTGACAAATGATGCTGAGTAGTGGCTACATAGGGAAGAAGTAGGGTAACGTGAAATAATTCTTGGATAATTTGGTAGGTGGCATTTCTGAAGTCGTGAATAATTATGCATGCTAACACACATTGAAGTCATGAAAATTTGTGCATACTAGTATGTATCAGAGCCATAAAAAATTGTGCGTAATGGTACATACTGAAGCCACAAAAAATTGTGCCTACTAGTATGTCCGAGACATTCATTACTTGCAGAGTAGTACATTGGGCATAGTTAAAATGTTAAAACTAAGCTCAACTGCTGATGTACTTTAAATGATCCAAAAAAAAACTGAAATTTTGCAAGAATTTACTTAATCAAAACTAAAAATCAATTACGTATTTTCAAGAAGAAAATATGCATAGGTAAGGGACACTATATATAACAAATCTAAAATGTCATATTATGCTCAGCATTTGATGCAAGATTTAATCTTAACATTTGTTTTGATACTTAAATGTAAAGACAAAATTAATTTAATCTAATACTGTGTTTGTTTTAATATTTACATATATTCAAAGATATTATAAAGACAAAAAACCTGAATAAGTGGCAATACAATTCTTGATACAAGAGGAAAAAAAATATATAAGGTAAGAAAAATAATTATGATGCAGCTTAAATTTTAATATTGGAGACCATTTTTAATAAACATTTTGTATGAATTTTTCACAAAGGTGCAAGAAGAAATTATGTAGTGGAATTTTAATATTTCTTACATTTTTTTTTTTATATGTAAGAAAATGAAGAGTGACTCGTCCTATAATAGAACCACTGCGCTTTGTAGACTTTTGAAAACCTTACTGTAATGCATTTTTTATCATTTTTTTTAGTAATATTTAAAATATTTAATATCTTTGCATAGTTTAATTTATATATCTGTGATGCCTTGTTTAATCTGGAAACTTTCATGAAAGGGTAGCCTTGTTTAGAATGTTATCCAGGTATTTTGGTTGTCACAGGTGCTTGAAAGCTTGTAGGAGTACTTGGAATATGTCAAGAGTTTTTCACATGAAACAAAAATCGGAATGGCAAACAGTGGGATAATTAAACTATATTCACTGAAACAGCAATGTAAAAGTTGAAATTTATAGTATAGTGAATGTATAATTGCTTGTATTTACAGGAGTAGAGCTATGCTTGTTTTGCCTTGACCTGGTGGTCATTTAATCTTCAGCAGCTGATCCTACAGATTAAACATGACACTTCCTGTATGCAAATACCTATTTAGATTTGAGATTCTCTGCTTATATTTCCTGACTTTAGTGATCAAGAGTGGGGATAAAGTATGGTGTCTTGATCATTTGCTGTATTCGTCAGTTTTTGGCCTGTGTTAGTATGATAACTGGCAAATGCTTTGAGCTCTTACATTCAAATTTTTAACTTCTACTTCAGACATTACTAAAAGAATCTTTCACATTTCTGTGAGATTCATTACTGTTGCATTTCATGTAATAAATTACTAAGAACTAGTCTGAATACACACAAGTTACATAGTCACCCAGCTGTGTTATTCCTGTCCACTGCTTTTTTTTTTTTTTAATATTAATTTAAAATTTAAAATCTTTGTATTTCCTCCTGGTTTTGTGGGTGAGGGGCTTGGACCTCCAGCAAGTGTGTGTGAGCGTGTTAGGAGTAAATGGAGACGAATGGTTTTTGGGACTTGACAAGCTGTTGGAGTGTAAGCAGGGGGGTAATATTTAGTGAAGGGATTCAGGGAAACCGGTTATTATAGATTTAGCTGGACTTGAGTCCTGGAAATGGGAAGTACAATGCCTGCACTTTAAAGGAGGGGTCTGCGATATTGGCAGTTTGGAGGGACTTCTAAACTGTCATATCTGAGTGCCTCTGCAAAGACAGTGATTATGTGCTAGTGAAGTGAAAGTGTTGAATGATGATGAAAGTATTTTCTTTTTGGGTCACCCTGCCTCGGTGGGAGACGGCTGACTTGTTGAAAAAAAAAAAATTGAAAGTTTTGTTTTCTGGGCAACTGTTTTTGAAACTTGACACTGGAAAAAAAAATTCTCTGAAATACACTTATTCTTTCTTCTTTCAACACACTGGCCGTATCCCACCGAGGTGGGGTGGCCCAAAAGGAAAAACAAAAGTTTCTCCTTTTACATTTAGTAATATATACAGGAGAAGGGGTTACTAGCCCCTTGCTCCTGGAAATACACTTATTGCAAGAAAAAAAATTTTGATTTGTGTAGCACCTCTTGATTGTTGTCTACCTGATTTTTTTTCTTAAGGCCTTTTGTTGTGCATCTTTCAGTTATCCCATTTGTAATATGCATTGTGAGTCAGTCTTGGATTTCCACGTATTCTCTTGTTTATCATTGCAAACAGTAGGAAAATGTTAAAACTCTTTCCACCATACTCAAACCACCATCTGGTATAATTTGAACAATATTTCTGGTACTTTAAAAGTTAACATATTTGAATGTCTGGTGAATATTCTAACTGAGGCTTTAAGTCTAAGGAAATGAACTAACAGAGGATGTAAGGTGTCAAGGATACAGAATAGACAGATACCTTTATATTTTCTATGTATATTTGACTACCATATGTAACAAGTGGTAAATTAATATTATGCATAACAGAGTTGTATTCTTTTAGTGCGAGTTACTCCTGCGTGATGAACCTGTGGTTACAGATGACCAAGGACTCAAGCGAGATTCTCCTATCATCTCTGCCATCCTTGCTTCTCCTGTTATACAACTTGCTTTACCAAAGCCAAAGACTCTGTTAGGTTAGTAAAATTACATTTTAAATAGGATGTTATTTTGAAATATATTAATACCATTTTCTTTGGTGTTTCTAAGTTTTCATTGTTGCTCTCCTTTAGACCTTTTCAGGGGAGGTGCCTTAATGCTTGTGAAGGGGCTCTTGAACCAAGAAAATGGAACTGATTTCTCCTTTTTTTCTGGGGCATTTTTAACCCCCAAAGGGTTTAGGACCCCCCCTAATCATTTTTGCTTTGTGTATAAATTAGAAAATTGATAAGGGCAGAATTTAAACCCTGTAAAACAAATAAATTTTTGAATTTTTTCCCCCCAATGTTTAATTTAACCTACATTGGGTCGCATAGGTTGGTAACAGCAACCGCCCGGGGAGCTGCCAAATGAGTGTAAAAGGGAATCCTGTAAGTTTTACATGATGGTGGGTTGCTGGTGTTTTTTTTCTGTCTCTTAAACATGCAAGTTTTCAGGTTTTCCCTTGTTTTTTTATTTACACTTGGTCCACTAAACAACATGCAAGCATTATATACACACCCTCTGATTTTCTTCTATTTTCTTTCTAGTTCTTTTTCTTTTTATTTCCCTTATCCCCAGGGGAAGGGGAACAAATTCCTCCCCATAAGCCATGTGTGTTGTAAGAGGCGACTATAATGCCGGGAGCAAGGGGCCTAAAAACCCTTTCTCCTTAAAAATTTTACTAAATTTAAAAAGAGAAACTTTTTTTTTTTTTTTATTTTGGGGCACCCTGCCTTGGGGGGTAGGGCCGGGTTTGTTAAAAAAAAAAAAAGTTTATATTTAACGTACTATATTTTTGTGGACAGAAGAATGCATTATCTCCTAACAAAATATTTCATATATAATGTAATAATCAGTGGGGGGCACTTTTCCATAACCCACAAAACCACTGTTTGCGGAAACCCAACTTTATGCTTAGCGATTTGTTTCTCTGCAAATTGGGAAAACCGTTAGCAGACCAAATTTTGCTTTTATAGGGGTGGAAGCATGGGTGATGAATGTTGCAGCAAGGAGAAGGCTGGAGGCAGGGGAGATGTCATGTCTGAGGGCAATGTGTGGGTGAATTAATGCAAAGAATTCTAGTTTGGAATTTAGGGGGAGGTGCGGGTTCCCAAAATGTTGTCCAGGGGGTGGGGAAAGGGGTTTTTTGAGGTGGCCGGACTTTAGAGAATGGAGCGAAACAGAAGATTTAAAGGGTGATCCTGTAGGGGAAGGAAGGGGGGGTGGGGTCCCTGGGAAAGGTGGAGAGGGGGGGAAAAGGGGGTTTTTGGTGTGCGAGGGCTTGGACTTTCAGCGGGCATGCGTGAGCTGTTTGTGGAGTAATGGAGACAAATAGTTTTTAATTTTGATTCTGTTGGAGGTGAGAAAAGTAACTTTTATGAAGGGATTCAGGGAACCCGGCAGCCGGACTTGAGTCCTGAGAGGGGAAGTACATGCCTGCCTCTGAAGGGGGGGTTTTTAATGTTGCAGTTTAAAAAAACTGTGTGAAAAGCACCCTTCTGGCAAGACGTGAGGATTGAATGATGGGAAATTTTTCTTTTCGGGCCACCCTCCCTTGGGGAAGGGGCCAGTGTGATAATAAAAAAAAAATAAAATAAAGCCGCTAACTTTGGTCAGCTAAGAAAAATTCATACATTTTTGGTATCAGAAAGAAATTTTTTTTCAAGGGCACCATGTCTTTTCCCTGTATTTGGGGCATTTCTCCAGGTCGGTTACTTTGGTGACGCGTGAAAAATTTGATTGTCAAGGGGCGGCCCCAGCAAGAAATGTTAGGGGTTTTACATGTCGGCGTCACCTGGGGCAATGTCCTTAGTTACGAACAGGGAGACATATTTTTCCGCCTGAGGGTGTTGTGAGGAGTCTGCAGTGGCTTGGTTGAAAGCAGGGGCCCGTCAGGCGAAGGCCAGGACCCGCAGAATCTGTGGCCCCACTGGATGATATTTTGTCCTCAAGTCAAGGGGTTAAAATCCAATTTTTTGTACTTCCTGTGATCATGTGCCCCCCCAAAGAGACCATCAAAAGGGGAAAAAGGCGCGAGTCAACAATTTGAACCGGTGTTAACAGAAAACACCCACAATCCCTTTAAAGTTTGAGGAGAGAATAAAGGGCCAATTTTCTTGAAAAACATGGGCAATTTTTCTTGGGGCATGCCATACAGGAGCAGCAGCCAGTCACACAAACTGCCTGCAAAGAGAGCATGCGACCACCGGGGCAAAGCTTTGTTGCTGCTGGCACTAGCGTTGTCTCTGTGGTGGACAAAAAGATTGGGGACCTATTCGTCTGCAACATGCACCACTGCATGAATAAAATCCCCCACCTTTGTCACCTGATCAAGACGCAAAATCTCAGCAAGACGGGGGGTTTTCCCGCGCACCCTGGGAGGGGGGATTTTGGTCAGCAAAAACTAAGAAGATTTTAAAGGTATTTATGAGTTATAAGCTTTCATTAAACACTACTAAAATTTTTTTGATATTATCTTAATTTTTTTGGGGTTCAAGTTATGACAGTTTAGAAGTAAGTACCTTTCCCATTTTGTAAATAAAAAGTAAAACACCTGAGTACTGTTTTTGAGTAACTTTTCTTGGTGTTTTTTTTTCAAAAATTACTGGATAAAATGAGTAATGTTCTTTATCAATTGTAGTGGAGTAAAAGTAATAACAGATTCAATCTCAATAAAAGAATAACTTTCATACTTTTTAAAAATAAAATACTGAAAAATTTTCAGTATTAAGTGCTTTTACTTCTTTAAACTTTACAACACGGGTACTTATACTAAGTATAAGTTTTAAAAAATAAAAGCCCAAAAAACAAAACCAAATTTAAAAATTCATGTGAAAAAAAGGGGTTTAGTGTTAGCTTCTCTAATTTTTTTGGCTTTTTAGGGGTTTAGCTTTAGCGGCTAATTTTTTTAGTTAGTGGATTAGGAGTTGCAAAGCTAACTGCAATCCCCGACCTTGTGAAAAAATCTTTTAGAAAATAAAAATTTGTAATGTCCCCCTGGTTGTTTACATGTTGAGATGGGGTTATAAAAAAAGTAAATGCTGGGGTTTTTGGGAGAGAGGGGGTTTTAAATTTAGGGGGAATAAATACGAAAGGAGTTGACACAGTTACTTTTGCTGATGAAACTGGTTTTTGGGGAGTTTCTAAAGAAAAGTTGAAAAGGTTAGTGGATATTTGGGGGAGTGTGTGTGAAAAGGAAAAAATTAAAGTAAACAAATGAATAAAGTGATGAGGGCATCAAACGAAAAATGATTTAATGAAAAAAAGGATATCCATGGAGGCGGGGATTGGGGAAGTGAATGTGTCAATTTTTGGGGAGGACTTGTCAGCAGATGATTAATAAAGGAAAAAGAAAAACCGGGAAAATTGAGAAAAAAAAGGGTGATGGGGCTTTGATTTTTCTGTGGAGATAAAAAACATTTCCCGGGGGCAAAAAGGGGAATGACGTGATATAGCTACCAACATCTTATATGGGGTAAAGCAGGGGGTAAAAATAATAATTCTGCAGCAAGGAGGGGCGGAGGCAGAAGAGAGTCATGTCTTGGGGCAATGTTTGGCATAAATATATGCAGAAAATTTGAAATGTGGAAATTAGGAGGGGTGGGGAGTTACAAAAAGTATTAGTAAAGGGCTGAAGGGGGCTGTTGAGGTGGTTTGGGTCTTTAGAGAGGAGGGAATAAAGTAAAATGACTTGGAGGGGTGTAAAGCTGTAGGGGGGAAGGGCAGGATGGGGGTCTCCTGGGGAAAGGTTGGAGGGGGGGGGTAAAGGAATTTTGTGGGGGGGGCTGCTTCCATAAAAGCATGTGTGAGCATCTTAAGAAATAAGAAAAAAGGGTACACTACACAAGTCACCCCCATAAAGGGCAGGTCCATGTCACCTCCCTGCTTAGACCAATACCCCCCTAGTCGGTCACATTCACTTAAGGAAGGGGCAAGGCATCAGCATACTACAAAAGCTTGCGGGTCCAGGTCACCCCCCCCACACCCACTCTTATTTATCTAACCTTTTTTTAAAAACTACACATTTAGCTTTAATGGTATTTGGGGAGTTTTTTCCCACTATCCACACTCTGTTACTGAACCGTGTTTTCCCCTTACCCTTTCCTGAATCTGAATTTTTCCAACTTAAAACCATTGCTGTGAGTCCTGTCTTGGCTAGTTTTTTTAAAATGCTTTTTGCATCCCCCTTCTTTAAATTTCCTTTTTTCCATTTATACCCTCAGTCATTTTTTTTTTTTTCAACAAGTGGGCCGTCTCCCACACAGGTGACCCAAAAAAGAAAAAAAAAAAATCCCCAAAAAGAAAATACTTTCATCATCATTCAACACTTTCACCACACTCCCATTACACTTTTTTTTTGCAGGGGTGCTCAGAAAACAACAGTCTAAAATACCATATAAAGATACACAACAATCCCCCAAAAACCCCAATCATCATTCCCTCCCTAATTCTACATCTCTAGAGAGGCAGATTATGATACATGGATCAACTTTGTCATTCCCTTTGTACTTTTTCCATACATTTATACCATTCTGTATATAGTGACCAAAACTGGGGGGCATAATCTAAATGAGACCAAACCCAAAAGATATATAGAGTGAAGGAAACTAATGGTTTTTTGGGACCCAAAGAGTGACAGATAAAAATTTTTGAAGGGGTTCAGGGAAATTGGGTTTGCGACTGAGTCCCCGGGAAATGGGGGGTACACGCCTCACTTTAAAGGAGGGTTGGATATTGGCTGTTTTAGTACATCTAAACTGTTGTATCTGAGCACTTCACTATGTATGAATATGGGAAATGTTGAATAATGAAAGTTTTTTTTTCTTTCTTTTGGGGACCCTTCCTCTGTGGGAAACGGCCGACGTGTTAAAAAAAAAACTTGCATAAAATTTTACTTTTTCATTGGCATTTCCCTGCCACTCAAAACCCCAAAAAAGTTCAATTTTATCCATCACTTTTTCTGTCCAGTACATTTTTTACATAATTTTTTTTAAATTTTAATTTGTGCGATTCCTTAATGGGTAATGGTGTTTTTTAAAAAAATATGTATACAGCCGTGCATTCTTGCGGTTTGGGTCTTGGGGTTTTCGACAGTCACTATTTGGTTGTCACTCCACTCGCTGCAATGTTGTACCCCTCCAGTGCTATTCATATCAGGTTTTTCTTGTTGCCCCAAACCCGGATACCGGTTAAAATTTATCAAAAAATATTTCCCTTTATGGTGTAATAACACACAAAAAGGGGTGCCCCCGAATACATAACTGGAAAAGTGGGATGGAGCTTTAAATTTTACCAATAAAACAAAGAGCTGTGGCAAACAGAGTTAATTCGGAGGCTGACATATTGTCAGCCTCAACACTTTCACCACACTCAAAATTATCACTGTTTTTGAGAGGTGCCAAATACAACGTTTGAAGCAATACATATAAAGATACACAACATAAACCCTCCAAATGCAATTTCCCAAACCCTTCCCCTTAAAATGCAGGGATTGTACTTCCCATTTCAGGACTCAAGTCTGACTATATGAAAATAACATATAGATGTAAAACCATAGCACCATGTCTTCTTTTGCAGATGACAGTAGAATCTGAACAAGTGTCATCCATTTAGGGCGGTAAATCTCCAAGCAGCAAAATAAAGTTTTCATAGGGCCCGGAAAATTACATGATGTTCAATAAAAAACAAATTTCATTCTTTCTTTTTTAGAAAAAATTTTGGTAATATTAAAAAGGGGCCAAAATTTTTTTCCCCCCCAAAAAAAAGAAAAATCTTGTAAGGACGGAGTGATAATTGGGGGCTCCACCTTAAATACAACATTTCAATCCACCAAAAATTTTAGAGGGTTGGGAAACCCCAACAAACCCCCCCCTGAATGTGACTTTTAAGTCACTTCTTTTCCACTGGGAATATGTAAAAAGCCCAACAAGGGAGATAAAAAGTGATCTAAGATTACGGAAATTTCTACAAAAACCCATCAAGCCCCAAAAAATTATTGGATGTTAAGCCCCTTACCCTTTTTCCCGGAACCCACAAAAAATTATAATCTAAACTCACCTGAAAAAATTTCCCCAAGGGGCTTTCCCAAACTGAAAAGAAGGGGTTATTCCCTACAAAAGCAAAAGATTTTTAAAAAGTGCAACATATTGCCATGAAAAGCAGGGTGCCTGAATACACTAAAAGAAAAAAAAGAAGTTTGGAGCCCAAGACTGTTTACATCTTCCCCTCGTAATAAAGGGGGTTACCTAAGACCCTGACTGTCTTGGGGAGGGGAAATGAACGATACCAAAATCGTCCCTATCACTAGGCTATGGTTTTATGTTGGATTGATGCAGCCAGCAGTAATATCCGATTGATCAAGCCCTAAACCATGGTAGGGCCCCGTTAGGACGAGCCCTGGGGGCGTTGACCCCCCGAACTCCCCCCGGTAGTTGTTGGGCAATATTAAAGTAGTTACAAATTTTTTTAAGAGGCCGAACGTGGGTAGCTTTTAAAAAAGGTTGGATAAATACATTAGATTTGGGTGGTGTAGTTAGACCGATAGCTTGTGCTACCAGGTCGGTTGCCGGTTCCTCCCTTAAGTCAATGTACCTGACCGACTAGGTTGGGGGGCATTTGGCTTTAACGGTAGGGGAAATTGGGCCGCTCGCATGGGGAGTAGGCCTTTTGCAGTGTTCCATCGTTTTTTTTTTGTTCTTATATTAATAATAAAATGCTCGTTTCCAAATTTGCCAAACTTTCTATCACTTATACAAATCAGGGTTAACTTTTTCAATATTTATGACATTAACTCCAAAAATGCGTTTCCTGTATAAAAACTTTAAGTAATTAGTTTTAAAAATTCGTATATGCAAATATATAAACATTTGAGTACGTAAAATTAATTTATTTCCTTGTTTTCCAGCCTGAGATGTTGTCGAAAGCCCCAAAAAATGCTAATGTGGGCTTAGTGATCCAATACCCACCCCCTTGGTCAAATTTTAGGATTTACCATGCAGAGAAAAACATCTAAGCCAAAATAGATCTGCTTCCTCTGGTTTACAGAGCACAACATCCACATCTTCGTGGGCTTTTTCATCCCCTGAAATAGCATTTTTTTCGTACTCCCGGTAGGCCTTCTTTACCAGGTAGAACTAATTCTACTCCCAGTAAAATTCGCCTTTACCTCAGTACGCAGATGGTCATCTAACCGCAGTTGTCGGGCTGCAAACATAACTCACAAAAACTCCCGCGAAATCTTTCAGCGTTGGGCTGCCAGTGATACCATCGCTTAACAAGCGGGGCCAAAAATTCATCACCTCATTCTCTGCCCAATCTTCACCCAGTTCTTCCCCAATTCCCAAAACCACGGTAAATTTCATCTCCGAACCTTCGCCAAACCCATCAATCATAACATTAAAAACAAGGAGCCAAAGTCTTTCTGGTTCTCCTTTTCGAGGGCCATTAGGAATTCGTGGTGCTACAGATATTCCAAATGGAGTTGCTCAAGGATTAACAGAAGGCCAGAGCCCTGTTTACAATATGTCCTTAGATCAATACAGTCATACCACATTACCAAGTACTGTTAGCATTGATGTAGAAATGGATGAACCTGGAATAGAGTCACAAGAAATGGAAACATAAATTTACTCTCATGAAATGTATTCTTAATTGTGAAGAATAATGTAAAAAATATATAATCATATCAGTTCCTGTATGAATAATTTTAATTTGGAAAAAAGTAGTGGGAGAAATCCTGTCCTTGAGAATATATATGGTGTCCAGATAAACATAAAATGACTAATAAAGTAAGAATAGATACATGTTGGGTTATTTTAACGCTATAGTGGAACCTTGGTTTTTTTATGCCCTAGTCTGTGTGTAAAACTATAGTTATTCTCTATAAAATGTATTTTTTGTTTATATTTCCCATACGAAATAATGTAAATCCAATTAGTCCATTCCAGACACCCAAAAATAGTAACAAAAAATATGTTTATAGAGAAGAACTATAGTTTAACATACAGACTAGGGCATACGAAAACTGAGGTTCCACTGTACTTGGAAAATTTTAACCAATGAAAATTTAAAAGTACAGTAGTAAAATATACAAATAAAAAACTAAATACAGTACTGTTAAGGCAGTATAAATAGATCTAATATCTAAACAACTGTCTTAATAAGGTGAGAAAAGCTGAACTGAGTGATGAAGGAATGTGATTTGCTTAATAATTTTCTGTAACCTGTTGTATTACATGAAAAAATGCTCTTCAGTTAGTTTGGAGGATTCAATAATTCAGGGTTACTATTTGAGATATGAAAGATAGTGGCTATCTCTCATATACTAGTACTGGTCTGTTTCTGCCACTTTTTAATCTCGTTTGAATATATATTGTGCGTAAATTACCTCATTGTGATTTTGCATTGGTTATGAACTATTTCATATACAGTAGGATCCCCATATCCACAGGTACGGTCCTGATGTTTCAGTTATCTGCGGTTAATGGTGGCCTGAAAATATTAAGAGGGGAGCAGGATTCTAGTAGAAAAATTTTAATAATGGTCTGATGTCAATTATTTTTTATTTTGAGTTAAGAAGGTGGTCCAAAGTGTAGCCTGGAGTTTACCTGGAGAGAGTTCTGGGGGTCAACGCCCCCACAGCCCGGTCTGTGACCAGGCCTTATGGTGGATCAGAGCCTGATTAACCAGGCTGTTACTGCTGGCTGCACGCAGTCCAATGTGCGAGCCACAGCCCGGCTGGTCAGGTACCGTATGTACTAGAAGTTTCATGAAGTTTGCCCAAAAGTAAGAAGAGAAAAAATAAAATAATGATTTTTGATGACAACACTATAGTAAAATTTATGCCAAATTGTTATACAAATTCCCTTCATGGGATTGTAAAACCATGATTCCTTCCCTTCCTCACTGGTCAGTCACCTAACACATCGTCACAATTCCTACACCACACCTCACTTCATCTTATCATATGCTTTGTACCATTATCATCATCATCATCACAGCAACAACACAGAACTGAGAAGTCAGTGAGTACCCACTATAGGCTAAGATATTTTATAATTGAGGAGGTAGCTGAGCTTGGGCAGGCAGGTATGAAAATATTTGGAAAATGAGTTAAGGTTACCAAAAAAAAAAAAAAAAAACAGTTCAACAATCTGGCAACATTTTTGGTGTGAATCTCATCTTCGTCCAATGTTTCTAAAGAAAATAATAATAATAAAAATATAATAACCGTAATATGATAATAATCATTTATAATATAGTGATAATAACTATTAATGTATAAGAGTACAGTAGGGCCCCACTTATACGGCGGGTTAGGTTCCAGGTTGTCGCCGGAAAGCAGACATCGCCAGAAGGCAGAATGCCATTTTCTTCCATTTATAAATGCATATAAATGCCAGGCAACAAGTTTACACTAAATTATATTAAGTTAGTAATAGAACTAGGCATTAAAAACAGACAGTTAAATACATTCACAGTAAATTCATTACTTATCTTAAAGTATTTGTAATCTTAATGTAGGGAGAGAGGTGAGTAGTACTTATTTGTAGGAAGTCAGGTGCAGGTAGCCCAAGTGTAGGTAGCACTGGCTCCCCGTCTCATACTTAATATACGATATTTAAAGTGTAGAGGAGAGAGAGAGATTTTGGAAAATGTTGAGTGAATGCGTGGGGAGTTTTGAATCAAGTGTAAGAGTAATGGTGGTTGGGGATTTCAATGCTAAAGTGGGTAAAAATGTTATGGAGGGAGTAGTAGGTAAATTTGGGGTGCCAGGGGTAAATGTAAATGGGGAGCCTTTAATTGAGCTATGTGTAGAAAGAGATTTGGTAATAAGTAATACATATTTTATGAAAAAGAGGATAAATAAATATACAAGGTATGATGTAGCACTTTAATGAAAGTTTTATTAGATTATGTATTGGTGGATAAAAGGTTGATGGGTAGGCTCCAGGATGTACTGTTTATAGAGGGGCAACTGTATATCGGATCATTATTTAGTTGTAGCTACAGTTAGAGTAAGAGGTAGATGGAAAAAGAGGAAGGTGGGGAACAACAAGTAAGAGGGAGGTGAAAGTGTATAAACTAAGGGAGGAGGAAGTTCGGGTGAGATATAAGCGACTATTGGGGAGAAAGGTGGGCTAGTGCAAAGATGAGTAGTGGGGGGGTGAAGAGGGTTGGAATAGTTTTAAAAATGCAGTATTAGAATGTGGGGGAGAAGTTTGTGGTTATAGGAGGGGGGGGGCAGGAGGAAAGAGGAGTGATTGGTGGAAATGATGAAGTAAAGGGTATGATAAAAGAGAAAAAGGTAGCTTATGAGAGGTTTTTTCAAAGAGAAGTGTTATAAGAAGAGCCCGAGTATTGGAGAGTAAAGAAAGGTAAAGAGAGTGGTGGAGAGAGTGCAAAAGGAGAGCAGATGATAGAGTGGGAGAGGGACTGTCAAGAAATTTTAACGAAAATAAGAAAAATTTTTGGAGTTAGTTAAAAAAGTTAAGAAAGCCTAGGGAAAGTATGGATTTGTCAGATTAAAAACAGAGTAGGGGAGTTAGTTTGATGGGGGAGATGGAGGTATTAGGTAGATGGCGAGAATATTTGAGGAACTTTTAAATGTAAGGAAGAAAGAGAGCAGAATTTCATGCACTGGCCCGGGAGGTACACCATCTTTTAGGAGTGATGAAGAGCAGAATGTAAGTGTGGGGGAGGTACGTGAGGCATTACGTAGAATGAAAGGGGGTAAAGCAGCTGGAACTGATGGGATCATGACAGAAATGTTAAAAGCAGGGGGGGGATATAGTGTTGGAGTGGTTGGTACTTTTGTTTAATAAATGTATGAAAGAGGGGAAGGTACCTAGGGATTGGCGGAGAGCATGTATAGTCCCTTTATATAAAGGGAAAGGGGACAAAAGAGACTGTAAAAATTATAGAGGAATAAGTTTACTGAGTATACCAGCCTCTTCAAGGGGGGCTCCTTGGCGTGGTGGAGGCTCTTGGTCGAGGAAAAAGCCCTTCGTCTTTTCCCAAAAGGCCCGAACCTAATTACCCCCCATTCTCCCCCCCTATCCCATCCCCCCTTTTTCCCCATTCCCCCCCTCCTCCTCACCCCTCCTTTTGCCCTTTCCTTTTTTTTGCCTTTTGGGGATTTTCCCCAGGCGCGCTATTTCCTGGGTGGGGAAAGAACCCGGGGCCCACCTTCCGTTGGGGGTTTTTGGCGGGGGGTAGTTTCCCGTGGAATTGAATTGCCTGGGGAGCCCCATCCCTCTCCGGTATCCCGGGTAGCTTTGGGTGTCTTTGGGGCAAAGGGTGTATCTCTGGAAGCCCCTTTTGGATTCTGGGGGTGGTGGGGGGGGTATGCTTTGTGGCGGATACCCGGGCCGCCCTCTTTTTGTCCCCGAGGTAGCCGGGCAGATTGGGGTTTGTATCCCGGTTTGGGTTTACTGGCTAAAGGGGTATTGGCACGGTTCCATGCTGCATTGGTACTAGCAGGTTGAGGTCCTTTGGGGCGGAGGGAGTTTTTCGGCCCCTTTTCTTTCCCTCCTGGGAAATATTCCCCCCCGCTCCCCCTTTTTTATTTTTTTTTTTTTATTTTTATTTTCTTTTCTTCTTTTTTTTTTTTTTTCCAAAAAAACAAAAAGAAAAGGAGTAACCTAACCATGCACCCCCTTCCATAAAACCCACCCCCCCGGGGGCCCCTTCTTGAACCGCCCCCCTTCTGACCCTGCCTTGTTTTAGACCACTCTTGGGCACTCCTATGCCCCGTACCTCTTGCTGGTGCTGTTTCCTCCCCGTTCAGGGCCGGGGGCTTCGCTGATCCTTCGATTTGTCAAAACTCGCTCTCCTTTGACTTGTTTCCCGGCTTCCCCCTCTCGGTACGGCAATTTTCGAACCCCCCCTTTTCAGCCGGCCCAACTCCGGTCTACTCCAAAAAGCCAACGTCAATCCCCTGAGGGTGCTCCTTCGTTACCCTTCCCCTTCTACTCGGAAAAAAGACACGTCAACACCCCTTCCCGCTCAGTTTCGGGCCACACAAAGGACTAAAATTTTTTATTTAAGACCGACTTTTCTTTTGCCTACCTTTCTGACCCTGTATTGGCAAAGCCTCCGCGTCAGTTGGGAGAGATATTTCATTTCATGCTTCAAGAGGGTATCCATCGTCACTGCCAGAATGCTGCCCCAAACTCATGATCTTTTTCTCCTTTCAAATACGTAACTCCCGTCACTATTGAAAAAAAACTTTTTCTCAATTCTTTAGTGGGACTGTCATTCGCCCCATACCCAAATCCAACAGAATTTCCAGTCATGTGGGAATGACATTTTTGAACGTGGAAATCCAGGGTCTCCCAACCTCAAAGTAGACACTTATGTCCTTCCTGCCCGGGGGCGGAGACTTACCCTTGAAGTGGCCGTTTAACTTTTGACAGCCCGGAAAATCCCGTCCTCTGTAAGTCGCGGGGCATAGGTTCAAGTTCGAAAAGGGGATACCCCACACCCCAACAATGTAAAATTGTGGCGTTTTTGGGCACCCCGCGAAATATTGCAGACTATGGCCGAATGCCCAGTTGGGTGCTGACGACCATTTAATAATCTTGCAGTCAACCTCCATCTTTCCTTAAATTTTAATGAACTCACCCTTCGTATCCCCCCTTGCCAGGGCACTTTAAAAGAAAGGAAATCCGTTGCCCCAAAGAGGCCGAAGGGCTCCTTATGCATGGCATTATCATTCCCCCCAAGGGGGGGGGGGGGGACTACCCCCTGTTTTTTATTCGTGTTTCCAAAAACCCCCAATTCTGGGGGCCCATCTTTTCAGCCCCCTTGTTGTTACCCCTCCCATAGCCACTACGGCATTAACCTTTTGCTGTCCTTGGCTTACTCCCGACTACAACTCAGTCTGTTTCAACTTGGCGCCTTTCCCCACAAGCCCCAGTACGACAAAAACCTGTACGACACCTAATACCAAACGCCCCTCTACTCAAAGTCCAAAAAATCCACTTGCTAAATTTCTTTGCCCCTTCCCTTTCCTTCTTCCCTCCACACTTTACTTTTTTTTTTTTATTTTTTTTTTTTTTTTTTTTTTTTTTTTTTTTTTTTTTTTTTTTTTGTTTTTTTTCCCCTTTTTTTTTTTTTTTTTATTTTTTTTTTTTTTTGAAACTTACTACAGCGATCTTTTTCCGATCATTCTTACTTCCCCTTTCCCATTCACACCTTTCGTAGCCCTCGCTGGCAATTTGATCGGGAAAATTTGGGGATTTTACTCACACCCCACTGTTTTTAGTGGGGTTTCCCCTTCTTTCCCCCCTTGAGAACCCCGCTATTGTTGTGAGCGCTGACGTATTTATTGCAGTTTTCTCCCATGCGGTCGACCTTGTTTCCATTTTGGGCCACACCATGGTTTTTAAATTTTCAGTCCAAAACTCACCAAATTACTTTCACTAGACGCTCTGTTATCCCCGATATCCTTTGTATCTTTTTTGGGCCCCCGTACCCGAATGTGAACAGTCGGTTCTAGGCCTTCTCTTTGACGTGGGTTACCCTGGAAACCTACTTACCTCTCAAAGGGCAACTTTCACACCCGGCAAAACCCTTTCTTAAAACCCTTGCTCATCTTTCCTGGGAGTGTCGTCGACTTGCTTCGCCTAATTCAGCCCGTTTTATCAAAACTCGATTATGGTGCCCAGATTTTTTCCCGCCCCCCTCCCCTGCTACTCTCTCTACCTTAACTTACCCCATCACCAAGGATTACGTTTGTGCCTTGGTGTTTTTGCTCTTCCCCTTTTGAGAGCCTTATCGAACGAATTTTCCCCTCCTTGTTGATCGCCGTGATGCCCATTGCCTTCGCTACTATTTACCTCTCACATCTACACAACCCTTCCATTTTAGAAGGGTCCCCCGATATTAGTAACTTTCTTATCGTTCGCCGCCCCTGTTTGCTCCCCCCCTTTTTCTCTTCGCCTCTTTTTCACTCTTGTTTTCCCCTTCGTTACCACCTTTTAGTTATGTGCACTCACTTTTCCCTACCCCCTGGGAATTCCCGTTTTGGGGTTGTTCTTTTTCACCCCCTTGCTCGAAAGCTCAATCCCTAGGGTGGTTTCCCCGCTCTCTTTTCTTGATCATTTCCCACCCCCATTTCATGCCACCGTGTGACAAGAGGCTCTAGTTTCGACGGGTCGGTTTCGCAGCAGTGTTTCCGGCAGCGCGTGCGGGGGCATTTTATTTTCAGCTAGCATTTTTATGCTGAACTGTTGCCTTTCTTGCACCCTTTTTCGTACGCATCTTTGCCTGTGCTCTTTGTAGAGTCTCGACCCCCTTATGCTCTACAGGCTAAGAAAATTTGATACATCTCTCCCCTAGTTCTCCGTATCCAACTTTGGCTACGCCGTATCCTACCAAACTAAAAATATTTTTTTTGTTGGTCCCTGGGCAGCGACGTAAAGGGCAATGAACAGGCAGACACTGCTGTGGGTCAGCAGTAATACCCACCAATTTTCCCATCGGGTGTTCCTTTTTGGACTATTTTTTCCGCAATAGCACCACCTTTCCCCCCTTTGGAGAAAAGTTGGTCAACCTGCTTCGGAACAAAATTATTCTATTAACCGAGCATGGTTACTGGCCGCTTCTTGTCATCAGTGCCAGATTGGGGGGCCACTTTTCCCCCTTGCATTGGCCACCTCGCTTATCATGGGTATCTATGGGGGAGGCCCCTGTTCCTCCTGTGAGCAGTGTCAAATTCCCGATCAATTTGCCACATTTGTTGACTGCCCTCTCTATCAAGACACGAGAAATTTTTCCTCCAAAGTCGCTTTGTTCTACTACCTTCTTTTACCTTCACTTCTTGTGATGGGCCCTCCTTTAATCCCGACTTTCATTGAAATTTTTGAAACGAGATTTATC